TCATGGAATATGTAGACAGAGGCAATAGAACATGTAACGTCACCGAGAAGTGGGAGAAAAAGGCAACGAATGACAATGACGACACTCAACACGACTAGCCCGACCACCACCAGCAATCGCAAAACCAGCAGAAGCTGCCGATTTCCTTTGCGTGTTGCTTCTGAACATAGTAAGAATAACAAGAACGACACTAAACAAAATTGAATAATAGAGCAACAGTGGCGGTACCTGTGCTGATTTTCTCACTAGTAGAACACAACAACTGTACAAATAGCATTAGCAAACATGATAGCACAAAAAGGTACAGCAGCAACCATAGCGCACATATACCAATACCAACAAGACTCACAAAACTAGCACTAGCAGCAGCAGATGGAATCATGTTAGTCACGTTGCACAGGGAATAGAAGTGATACTACTGGTAGCAATACAGGTAATTATTCATCGTAAAACGAGCAAACATACTAAGAATGATGAAAATAATGACAACAGTCGCATAGTGGTAGTACCAGTAGTAGTCGTCGTCGTCGTCGTGTCCGCCGTAGGCATAATCGTAGTTGTAATCGAGTCCTCGTCGTAGCAGTGGTAGCAGTAGTAGTAGCGATAGCAGTGGCAGTGGCAGTGGCAGTGGCATTGGCAGCGGCAGTGGCAGTAGCAGTTGTAGTACTGGTAGCAGTAGTAGTAGCAGCAGCAGTAATAGTAGTAGTAGTAGTAGTAGTAGTAGTAGTAGTAGCGGTGTAGTCGTAGTAACTGTCGTAGTAGAGGAAAGAACTGTCACGACCGTAACGACACAGGAATAGTAATGATCGAAAAAAACGGTAGCAGCAGAAAAGACATAATAACAGTAAACCGTGCAATAAGGTAACAGCCATAATCAGATTGATGGAAAGGGGTGAGTACTAAACGCAGAAATAGGTGCTAATTTTTGAACTAATTGCTGGTCTTTTTCGAAGCAGATGTCGTCGGCTTCCTGGCAGCAGAGACTCCTCGGATTCGCCACGAATGTCGAAGTCATCAATTTAGGGTGTTTGTAAATTTCATGGCTTAAGTATTAGGGCCTACGGTTCTGGGATGAGAGTTTAGGTCTTGGCTTCATGAGAGTTGGCAACCCCGGCAGGAAATCCATCCCAAAGAAAAACAAAACGCAAGTTCGATTAAAGCGTAGAATTAAAGCCCATCGGGCCACAGGGTTTTGGAAACAAAAAACTCCCCAAACCTGAAATTACTGAGCCTAGGATCATTCGCCGTGGATAGGGGCGGACTCAAGATGCTCTCTGTTTAATACCGAAAGACCAACGTAAGGTTGGGTCTGTTACAATCGTAAAAGCAAGATCCTTTTCGATCCAATGAGGGAAATCAAAATGGGTAAGCCCGAAGATGTAAAGCTTGAGAACCGTATACCCGGAAAGTCTGGAACCCGATAATCCTGAGCCCTGAAAGCCTCAATCCTGAACCCTGAAGCCTTATAATTGAAGCAATTTACCGGGACCCGGCATTTTTCGCAACCAAGGAGCGACAAGCATCCTGCAGCATTCAGGCGAGGCGTAGGGCTTCGACGGGCTCTCGTTTCTGGAATCATGTTGCGCGATAGGGCCAAAAGATTTGGCAACTAGTTCGAACAGATGCTGCTCAAGACATCCCGATTCTCAACATGCCTTACTGGAAGAACCCCAAGTCTGCTTATCATCACGGAAATAAGGTTTTTAACTTAATTAAGGCTTGCGACGCATGGCTTAGGGTGTTAGGGTTCTGCGTTACCCATTTCTAAATCGCTGGACGAACCCATGTAGTGTTGCAGTGCTTCAACTGGTACTTACCTGGTACTTGATAATTATAACCTATTGGTAGGAATCGAATGTCAACGCGGGAAAGCTTCAGCCCGTAAGGCCCGCACAGGTTGGAGTCCTTTAAATTGTTTGGCTCCCTTTTTATAGACAACCCCAGATCTGTCTGATGGGGGGTCTTCGGACGACAAACTGCAAACGTTCTGAGTCGTTCTCCTAACATCACCAGTATACCAAAACCCTCCAGGCACCTACTGTATAAAGGGTACTAGAATCCCTGGGGCCCTATATAGTAGGTACCTGGAGGGAGAGGGAAAGATCGAGAATCAAGAATAACAGCACACATGCTTGCAGTGGAACCCGGGAGCAGCCGTGGTCCTAGTAGGAAACTTCATACTCCATAGTGAATGCAGGGGCCTTCAGAGTTAGAATAGGTTTTTGGGGGCCCATTATGCTGTACTTATTTAGGCCCCTATATTCTACCAGCAGCACTCCAAGGCCAGCAGCAGCAACACTAAACCCCCAACCCTAAACCCTACCTATAGTCTCCATTGTAGTTCCTTTTTTGGGTTAACCAGTTTTATGGTTAGGATCCTATAATATGAACTTGGTTAACCAAAAAAAGGAACTACAATGGAGACTATAGGTAGACCATTAGACCCACCCGGCCGCAGCCTCCAAACCGAGCTGTGCACGTGCTGGAGTCTCTTGTCGTTGTCGCGGCGGCCGTGGTGCGTGACCACCTCGATCGAGTGCTTTCAGGTGCAAGATGATGGGGCCCAGGGTTCTGAGAGTTCAGGGTCAAGTACCGCAAAAGATCTTCATATGGGCATCTTGCTACTGAGTCATGGCAGTCATGCTAGGGCTTAGGGTTTAGGGTTTCATGGGCTATCTAAGCACAAAAGTGGAAGGCAGTTGGGAGGCCTGGATAAGCCAGGATCCGCTTGCCCAATCCTATCCCATCAACCTTCCTTTCGAAAGCCTGTCTTATAGCCCTGAACTTAGGCGCAAGGTTTAGGGTTTAGGGGTTTAGGGGTTTAGGGTTTAGGGTGTTGAACTGTTGAACCCTAAATCCTGAACTCCGACATCCAACCATGGCATTTCGGGCTTGCAATTCTCGGTATGAGGCGACTGAATTCGCTAAGCTCGTTGATGGCATTAAGGTTAAGAGCCTATGGTTTGTGTGCTACGAGGATACGAGGACATAGTAAGGACGTTTTACGCAGGCTTATAAGAAGGGTAATCCCAACTGGCTCACATATAGCTCTACTTGCAAGCTACTCAGTCCCCAAATCCTATAACCCTGAATCCTAAGCCGCTGGATCGTCTTTTATAGAGCCCTGAAAGCCTGAATCCTAAGCCGCTGAACCGTCTTTTAGAGCCCTGACAGGAACCCTTTAAGGCAGTCTCGGATGCTCTAAGCAGAGGTTCAGCGTGACGCGGTTTTGTTTAAATCTCACAAGCAAAGCATCCGGGCCAGAGGCGGGGAATGTAGGGGCATGAAATAATCAGAATAGGGTTTTGGGGGGTTCCTTTTTATGAATATAGTATAACATACCCCAAACTCTACTCTAATTATTAAGGCCTCTATATTATATTTCGTAAGGCAGAGTATGAAACCCCTTTGCAATCAATGAAGAGATTCTCTCCTCATACTATGAAACATGTTTAAAGTCCAAGGAATATCATTACTTGCATCAGAATATGAAACTCGACAATTTACGGGAACAGGCCTGCAGTTTTTTCGTAAAACAGTTTTAAACCAAGCACTATTCCTTTCATTGCTGCCGTTTAGTATGACGACTTTTAGGCTTTAGGGCCTAGGCTTTTGCGAGTTTTTGTTCAGGGGTTTGGGTTGCGGGGTAATCCTATCAGACCTCGAGCTGTGGATCCTAAAGCTTCAACCACGAGCCAACGAAGCTCCAGAACCGCCTTAGGTTCAGCAGGATACCTCAAGGCCTAGAAAAAGCCTTCAAACGACGTACGGAATTTGCCGCACTTCAATGGTAATTTGGGGTTCCTGTTGACCCCCGTGTTTGAACCAACCCCTCGGCAAGGAGCTCAGTTGTAGAGCCGACATAGGAGGTTGTTGGCACCACGCTGCCGTCGAGAGGCCTTACGGCTTCTTGTTGAGGCTTTAGAGTTGGTTGGGGGTTTAAGAAGCCTTTTGAACATCCTCCGGGTGCTTCGTGTGAAATTTGGGGATGCAGTTTAGGACCTTCGCGTCGTGTGTTCTTAGGATTTGGGTTGAGGCTGGGACTCTTCATGGGTCTAGCAGTATGCTCCAGGGTTTAGGGTGTACGGGTGTGGGGTTTCACGGTTTAGGGCTGCGGGTGCTAGGGTCTAGGTTCAGGGTTACGCAGTTTGCTGAGTTTGCTTGTGAGATGGAAACAGCTGCCTACTGAACGAAACTTCAACTTTAACTTGCTCCAGAGTGCCCAAGCTTAGCTGTAGTAAGAGCAACAGTTGCGTTATGATGCTGCCGCCGTGACCGTCATAACTGGTGCTGTTCCCTTTTGCTGCCACTGGTGCCGCTTCTGCTGCTCTTGAGTTGTTGTCGTTATGGTCATTGCCGTGGTGGTCGTGGTGGTGGTGGCGGTAAGCTTATGTCGACTCAAACCGACATCAGCCAGAATCCCTAAAGCAGTTTGGCACTAAAGGCCGCAACTTGGGGGCCGAAAGCTCTTCTGACTGCGTGCCAGGGCTCCCAGGTAGCTGCAAGCTTCCGACACTGCCGGATCGCGTGCTGGAGATGGTGAAGCGCGCTCCCTGGCTTTTGGACTGTTCTTGGAGCCGAGTCTTCTCAGAACAGGTTGCGTTTGGCTGTTGAAGTTCTTAATGGTCTGGGCGGTCCGGTTAAACTTGCGCTGTACAGTACCTGTCACACCGCTCCAGCAGACAGCGCACAAGGAGAATGTCGGAAGATTAGCGGACTAGCGGCTAGCCCTTTTGAACGTTGTCTTACAAGAGACACCCTTCATTTGTTTGTAGATGCTTTCGCGACATCTTGCATGACAAGACCCCCCCACCGTAGAAATAACTATACTCGCCCACTGCCCCGATGTCCAAGTCTGAGACAGGAGTCTACAGCAAGTCCTCTCAATTGCTGGCAAGAAAACTGGCGATTTTTTTCAGATGCCTGACGCTACAATCTGAACGGAAAGATCCACTGGGTAGTTTGATGGCTTTACGAAACTGGCGAGTGCTTGCCTTCGACTAGCTCAGTTTCAGGGACTCATGGAGCATTTGCACGGTCGAGAGAAGTTGGCTGGCATGTTCCCAAGCATCTGCGTGCCTTCCTCGAACCGCCTTGCTGGCTGGTTCTGAGGAAAAGCGAATCTCGTAGTTGCTTTCGCCAGAGTGCCCGCCCGGCTTGCTCAAGCAGGTGACTTCACGGATTTTGGAGACACCCACTTCGACTGCTTGCTCATTGTCCATCCAAACACACTCTTCCCTGCATGCCACGCATTGAAGCTTCCAGCCGAATGGTAGTGAGCACTTGTGAAACGATTCAACCAACTCGTCCGGATCTTGTAGTCGCCCTCTGCACTCGACATCGAAACGGTGCAGGGCATCGGCTAGTCCCTGTGCGATATTCACTTCCGCACTCGCGTTTACCGTCAAGCGAAAATCTGGAGAGTGTCCAAGGCGACACACGTCACCTCTGAAGAGACGTTCGCTCTCTTTCTTCGCGACGAACGTCTGCACGCCTCCGAGCATCTGCTGACTGAAGGAAGCACTTACTCAGACAACAAAGACACAAGTTTTTGGTGCAGCCTGCAGAAACCCTAAACCCTAAACCCTAAACCCTAAACCCCTAAACCCTAAACATCGAGAATGTCAAAAACACTCCAAGCCTCCAGGTTTGGGCTCGCTCCCGCCAGCCTGACGGCAAAGGGCGGGAACCTATCGCATGCTTCATGCTCGCCACCGGTAAGGCTTTTTTCACATGCCAAAAAAAAGGGCTAGAACCTTCTGAAGCTCAGTAGCCTGGCGGACCAAGTTCCGGACCAATTAGTTTGCAGCAGAAATTCTTATGGCATATAATGTTCCGGATCTTCGTGAGGAGAAATCATTGGGATCCCGAAAGTAAAGAGCATTTTCGGCTGTCGAAGGCTTTGTGTCTAAACATGTTTAAATCTCCCGCCTCACGGTATGGCGCTCTGATGCGCAGAGCTTGGTCCAGCGGCATGTCAGGAGGGCCTCGGCCGTCGTGTGCAGAGGAGTGGCGGTACCATGGCAAGCATGGAAGAGGGGGAAGGTATGCTGCTGCAACCAAGGTGCGAAACTCGATCTTTGACAAGAGATCGTCTGCAGCCCGTTTGATGATGTCCATCGCACACCAGCAACCCTCAAACTCGTTATGGGAGGGATGCAGCAAAAGCTCCAACATCCGCCTTGCCAATGCGACCCGTCCACTTGATGCCTGCTCTTGACAATCAATTTTCAGTACCTCGAGGTGTGAGGTACAAGACCAAAGTCGTGTCATCTCAGTTGCGCGTGCAACAGAACATTGAGGGTCAAAGAAAGTAACCTCCATCTTAGCACCGTCTTCTTCTGTCTTGATATAATGAGTTGTGTTGGTAAGCTGCTGAGAAAGCATGAAATCGCTCATTTTGAGCACCTCGGAAAGTTCCTCTGCAACGGGACGCTTCAGGCGCGCCGCCCACTGTGGTCGGCAGTCCCTGTAGCTGAGTTGATCTATCGCACCAGGCCTTTGCGCAGTTTCCCGGGACAGTGTCGGACCCCAGAAGAACAACTTTCCAAAACGAGCTGAAACACGAGCTTCACTGAGCTTCTCGGGCGCAACCGTATCAAGGCACCGCTGGAAATCCAGGTGTAAAGCACTCCAGTCGAAATGGTCCGGGCAATAACTGTATGCGCTGACACTATCGCCTGCTAAGCTTGAGTCAAAAGGCACTTTCTCCAAGACAAAGAAACGTCTTCCGCTGCCGCCTGCAGCTGTTTGCTGCAGCTGTATGGGGCAAACATGGAACTTCTTAATATCTGCCGGCACCAACTTCGCGCACGAAGCGCTGGAGACGTCGATCAATGTGTTCTTTGAGTGAGGAGGCTTGTGAGATGCCCCAGCCCTGTCAATCAGCATCTGGAAGGTGCGGACTGCCTCATCAACCATCTCCACGTCGTGTCCGCGTATGACGAGCTCCATTTCATGAGCGCGTGGGCCAACAAAGGTTTCTTCTTTGTCTTTCTTCGTCTCGGAGATATGAAGGCCTGGATAGGACGACCGCACCTCTTTGAGCTGAGCCCGATTCTGACCAAGGACAGTGCCAATAGCATAGCCAGCCACCGAAATCGTCCTTTCAACGATTTGGTTCCCGACGGGCCGCCACTGCTTTCCCTTGCTCGGAGAAGTCTTGCCCCCGCCCTTACGAAAGCTTTCCACGCCTTTCTGTCCTTTTCCGCTGTAGCCTTGACCCCCCTGGGCCTGGCCTTTCGCACTCTCCTCCTTCCCTTTGCTTTGCAAAGAGCTCCAAGTCTGCAAGGTCGGGGGACCACTGGCAGTGGAGAGGTTATTGGCATGCAATCGGATGCTGCATTTGGGACAGAATACTCCACAGCTGCTGCACAAGTAGATCTTGCCACGATATCTCTGGCAACTGGGAGTGTCGCACCTGAGTTGCTAGATTGCCATGCCGAGGAAAACATGTCATGTTCGGCGTATTATGCCAACTAGGCTAACTTCGAACAAGCTATCCTTGACGTTTAGGGTCTCAAGGTTAGAAAACAGGGTTCGGGGTCTTGAAGATCCCAGGGGCAGCAGCCGATACCTTCGTTGCTTCAGGTCGCAGACGAAGCAGTTTACCAACTCAAGAGAAGTTGTAGACGTTGCTTCGTCCCCCATGGCTTCTCTTCCCGGAACCCGCAGTTTAGCCAGGGTTTTGAAAGATTACCATAGGGCTTTGGGGTCTCTGTTCAACTATGATAAGGAGCCTCAATCGGCGGAGAGTGTCCTTTTAACATACTCTAGCTACTATAACATTCTAACGTAGGGATAATAATTAGAATAGGGTTTTGGGGTTCCTTATTATAATTGTACTAAAATTGTACTATAATCTACCCTCTATGTGGGAGTTTCCGAAAATAGGGGACCCTAATATAGTACCCTAAATAATAGGATCCTTATTATAAGGACCCCAAAATAAGGTACCCCAATTTTCGGAAACCCCCATGTTGCTCGCCCTCTGTATCAGATCATCGAGGTCTTCGGATCCAGGGCTTGCATGCGGGGGTCAGGGCACACCGGATCTCCTCATGCCTGAGAGCCCGGGTTTAGGGTTTAGGGTTTAGGGTTTAGGGTTTAGGGTTTAGGTCAGAAGGTAAGATAGGGGCCTCAATGATTAGCATAGGGCTTTGGGCTCCGTTATAGTATAGTTCTGCTGAGGAACCCGAAGGAATGGAAGAATATGATGGGAAATTATTCAGGCCTCTAATTTGCAAGGGAACCGAAGTGCGGAGCCTAAATAGCGGGATGCCCACCACCTGACAGGGGGTAACATATAACTAGGGACTATACCGGCGCCGTATCGTTTAAAATACTAAGTATTCAGATCCCCAGAGTACCGAACCAAAGCTCCATATCACTCACTCCCTGCAAGCTTGTTTCGCAACGCCCTCGTCAACATTCAGCCTAGATGGATTTAGGGTCCAGGGCCTCAACGCCGACACGTCAGGGCTGAAGCCTACTTACAGGATCAGGGGATCTAGCATGTAGCATCTGGTTAAACATCTGCAGTCACAAAACTCCACATACACCCCAAGTAATGACCATGAATCTTCAAGCACACGGGAGTTCCAGAAACGAAGCCCACCATCAACTCCAAAACAAGAGTAACAGCCTCAGTAGAGGACAAGCCAATAAACGAGCGCATCTTGTGTTCCCAGCCGGGGCCTTCCCCGCGTCATATCGGTGGCCATTCACCTTGGGTATCTGTTCACTTACCTTTGGTTAGTAGGGAATGAAGGAATGGGGTACAAGTATGACTACTATTACTACCAGTCTTCCATTCCCTACTAAGCAAAGGTAAGTTCAGGCTTGAGGCCTTTCGCTTCTAACGGCTTAGTGCACTGCTGTGAAGGCTCGTCAGACGGTAGGTTTAGGGTTTGGGGTTTAGGGTTTAGGGTTTAGGGTTGCTTCGACTAAACTGCTGAATATTGAACTCTAGACATTAAAATGTGGTGGAATATTATTCTAGCGTCCATCGTATAGTACGCTGCAGAAACCACAAAGCCTCGGCCGCAAGCTTCACCAGACGAGGCACGAGTTGCGAGACTCCCGCTGCTTCGAAGTAGCCGTTGTTGCCCTGTGTAGGGCTGAATTAGGACTTGCAAGGGTTAAGTTTGGGGTCGTAAGGTATGAATACGGTGTGGGTGTTTCCACCATAGTTTTGGAAGGGCTACAAGGGGCTACCCTGCCGCATAGATATTCAGGAAGATACCCGTACGGGGCCCTAAAATGCGGAACTCTTAGCACCCGAGCGGAATCTTTCGCTACTTACCTATAGTCTCCATGGTAGTTCTTTTTTTGGTTTAACCATTTATATATTAAGGACTTTAATAAGGTATCCCCAAAAAGGAGCTACAATGGAGACTATAGGTACTTTCCCGACCACGCACCCACACACACACACACACACACACCCACATTTAAGACCGAAGCTGTCTAGACAATAAACCCAAGCACTATAAACCCGACACTCAACGTAGAACCCTTGTAAAACCATATGCAAACCCTAGGTTGAAAGCAACCATAGGTGAAAGTCGTCGTGAAATCGACCATTCTTGTTACTCAAAACATTGATACACTCCCTAAACCCTAAACCCTATACCCCTAAACCCTAAACCCTATACCCCTAAACTCTAAACCCTATACCCCTAAACTCTAAACCCTATTACCCTTAAAGACTAATAACTCCGGACACCCTGCAAAGCTCCCTCTCACTGGGGCCCGGTCTGCCACGAACTTCAAGAAGAGCCTGCCTAGGCCTCGTCATGGTTTAGGGTTTAGGGTTTAGGGTTTAGGGTTTAGGGTTTAGGGTTTAGGGTTTAGGGTTTAGGGTTTAGGGTTGTTTAAGGGTTCCTTTGAAGGGCTTGTTTAGGCTTCAACTAGGGATCTGGCTCAGTTCTATAGTGCCCGGGGCTTCGAGATCGGAATAGTGCTTTGGGTATGCTATAGTACCACTATAAGGAGATACTATTCCTGATTAGTCAGGCCCCTAAATCAGGGATGCGGGATGTTTTGGTGCTTGAAGTTCAGGCTTTAGGAGGCATGGATTTGGGTCTTCGGGGTTTTAGGCTTGCGGTCTCTGTTGCTCAAGCTTTCGAGGCAGTAGGGCCTGAGGAGTAGGGTTCCAATCCCGTTGGGTCTTTCCCCAAGCCTCCAGGTACCTACTATAAGAGGGTACTAGAGCCCCTAGGGCCCTATATAGTAAGTACCTGGAGGGTTAGGGTTTGTGTTGGTTTTGAGGATTCAGGATGCTTCTTTGGATGCCAGGCTTTCAGGATGGACAGCTTCAATTCAAGGCCTACATGGCTTTGCGGTAGTGAAGGATTCAAAAGAGTGTGGGGATTTCGGACGCGCGGGATTTCGGGCCGCATCCGGAGAGGATGATTGAAGAGGTCGAACGTGAAGGAACGTTTAGCATGTGCCTATAGTCTCCATTGTAGTTCCTTTTTTGGGATTAACCAAATTATATAGTAAGGATTCTATAAGGTATCCCCAAAAAGGAACTACAATGGAGACTATAGGTGGGTGTTCACTTGGACGCTCTTTCGATGCAGCAAGTAGAACTAGCAAAATGGGCTATGGAGAAAGTGTCTGCGAGTAATATGGGGGCCTTGATAATTAGAATAGGGTTTTGGGGCCCATTATACTAGAATTATAATAAGGAACCCCCAAGATAGTATTGGTAATCATTTAGGC